CAGGCGTGAAATAAAGTCACAAAAATATTTAAACTATTGAAGGACATAATGCCCCAAGCTGTCTTAAGGAAATAAACATTCAAGGTTGTACTGAGTTGGACCACCATGTCATTGTCATGCATAGCCGACAAACTTCCATGACATAATGATGGCCTTCAGTAATCACTTAAGACCTCCATAATATCATTTTTAATGATGTCAGAGCAGAAAATCACCATGTTATACAGGTATCCCTTGTATAACATGGTGTAGTTATGTTCTAAAAAAAGTGCCGTTATGAGAATCTGTGCTATATGAAACAAAGGACTAATGCAAAACATAGGGTTAGGTTCCAAAAGTTAACAAAAGTATACTATTCTTTTTTGTTACTAATAGAAATGTTTATGAAAGCAATCAATAATTAACTAACAATCATAATTAAAAGTACTATATTTACATGTTGTTATTAATTTTGATTAAATGAGGGTGGGTTTTTTTACAAAGTATTGGTATCTTCTGAGCTTTTTTGTTGATCTTGATCAGGAATATCAGCAGTCTTCACTTTTTTTTTGTATCATAATTTTTTATGGATGATAAAATAAAAATATATATCATTAAGCAAAAATTTGTTCTAGTGGGTCATGTTTGTTTAGTCGAGTACTGAGCAATTTTTTTCCAGAAATTATGTTCAAATACTAAATTATTCGAGTTGAGAACAGTTCAAGTATTGAGATTCCACTGTATTTCATTTGTTATTTTTACGAATGATTATTTAACTACAGTTAACAAAAGTTTAATAACACTTACCTAAACATGTTTAAATAAACTTTAACTAAATATGAAAAGTAATCTAAAAAAAACAAAACAGTGACAGTCTTAAGGGTTAAAGTCTGAAAGCTAGGACAAGGAAGAAAAAATTGCACTATCAGTTTTCATTAAAGTAAACCTGACAAAAGGAACAGAACAAATTGAAAATTTCAATATTCTAAAATCTGTGGGCAAATTTGATACATTGCACATTCTTACTTGAATTTAAAACAATATCAAATAACAGAGTGTACACTTAAAAATTGTGAAATTTTGTACAGAGTATTCCCTAAACTGTGTTAGAGCAAAACCAAAAACTGTTGTGCAGGGGATATCCCCAGTTTTCCAAACCCTGTTATATAAGTAACGTGTTGTACAAGAGATACCTGTACATGCAATTTTGTGACAATAAAGAAAAATTTTACATAATCACATATGTAAGGCAGTGATTTTTGCAGTGATTTAGAGAATCTAATAGTGGAAAATTTTTTGGCCAAAAGTTTTGCTCAGATGGATAGCATGTAGAGGGAGGATATCATAAAGGCTAAGTAAGTCAATTTGGTAAAAAAAGTCCATAAAAAACTAGTAGTTATAGAAAGTCGTTGCTACTATGTGATTGTAGTATAGTTAACCTTCTTCTCACTAATATACAATAAATAGCAATGAAAATGTGATTATTATTTTAATAATGTATATTTTATATTAAAATATTACTCTATGAGAGCAGAACAACAATAAAAATAAACAACTGAGGTAGTGTAATGAATTATTAAGAATAAGCTTGTAAATTTACACTGAAATTTGGTGATAAAAATCACTAAACTTCCCTACCACAATAGAACATATAAAATACTGTACCATTGAAACAAATGGAAGTTCTTTCTATTTCCCTGTATTACTTGCACAATATTCAAATTTTTCAAGTTCTGAAATCAGGTTCAGATATAGGGATATGGCTGTATATACTTGTTATAATCTCTACATTGTTGTTGTTGTTATTATTATTATTGCTTTACTGTTTTCTTAGTATTGCAGTGTTTTAAGTAAGATATATAAATTGAATAATTTATTGTTACATAAATCTAACTATTTATGTAACAATAAATATTTATTGAAATGTTTTTAATTTTTATAATTACAATAATAATTCCTTTATAATTATAAATTACATTAAAAGTTTGTGGCGTAATAAACACTAGTATTGTGTTTTATTCTAAAGACACATGGCAAATTTTCCATCAAATTCCTTTTTAAAAAAAAAAATTATTTGATGGAAAATTTGCCATGTGTCTTTAGAATAAAACACAATACTAGTGTTTATTACGCCACAAATATAAAACAGGACACGGTTTCAAAAAGAAAATCTACATTAAAAGTTATTTAACATGTAAGAAATTTCTCGGGATGAAGGAGGAAATATCAGTATTTGAATTATTGAATTCAAGTGGTGATTTTAAGTTAAATTTTCATTCTAATTGAAAAATATAAAGGAAGGAATAAAATTTTAAATTGGATATTAATCATTGCCGTAATTAACAATATTTACTTATATATGTAAACATTGACTCAAAATATCTTAAACTACTTGTCAGGGATAAAGAAACATTGTCATAGAAACATCATTTTGGAATGTGTTACAGATATATTTATCTATTAATTATTTAAAATAATAAAAACATGTCATTTAAAATATTTGCTCATATTAGTTAATTGTAGATATAATATTTCAATTTTCCATTCATTGTTTTCTTTATTAAGTATTATAGTAAAATGGATATGTTAGATATTACAAAACATAAATTAGGAAGTATGATCAATAATTGAAAATATTCAGTAACAGAGATTATGCATGAAGTCAAATGATGATTTAAAAAAATGCTTTAGTGATACTAAGTTTAGATTTAAAATGTTCAAGTTAATTGTCAAGATATTTTAATAATGATAACAGACATCTCTCAATAATCTCTCAAACAAAAGTTTACAATACTTTTAAGATTTGAAATGTAAACTTTTGAGTTTTTCTTGTTTTATGAAAAGATTATAAAATCCAACAAAACACAATAATAAAATTATTTGATTTTCATTAAAGTGAATAAATTAGGTATTAGAAGAATCACTTTTTTCTCTGAACAATTTTGACAATTATGCTTTAATTGCAATTAGTGAAAGAAAGAAATATGTTAATTGTCTCAAGAACTACCCAAGAACTTTTTTATTTCTATTCTTACATGTTCCATCAATACTCCAAAAGAATTAACTTATAATTTAACTTTTCATATTAAAAAATATTTTTAGAAAATGATCAAATCTCTAATTAAATTATTTATTTCATTAATCTTCAGTACAGTAAAAATAATGTTAAACAATAATTTTTTTCTTTAATAAGAAAGGTAAACAATTGTCTTTATCCATTTTAGGAGTTTATACTTTAATTTCAGCCTTATAATTGTCTGAATTTTTTATTTTACTTCTGAATTTTTGGAATAAATTACATAGTTTCATTATGAATCAAGTTAGACATGATTTTGTAAACTTCTATTTACAACATCTATTATAAAATGTTATCGTTATTAAAAAAACTTATGAATCATTTAATATATTTTATTAAGAAAATGAAGCTGTAGTTAAATTTACATATCTGACAGATTTTTTTGTTTTATTTATAATTATAGTCAAAATTTGTATGAAATTATAACTTAAATTATTGGAATGTAAAAGTAGTAACATAATGGTTTTCAGTAAAACATAGACCTTCCTTGTAGATGCATTCTGAAGCTTATTTCAATTTCTATTTTAATAATGTCTTGAAGTTTTGTTATCGCTAAAATATTGTTTAAGAAAATTTATTAAATCTGAAATAAAAATAAGTAAAAACAAATTAAATAAAAATTAAAGGTATTTCATTTCATCAAAATATAATATGCATTTTTGAAATTTTGATTTTAGTTTCTTTATTTAAAATTAATAGTTGTTATTAAAACTTAACTTAAACAAAAAACTTAGTAATATTTTTCAGTTTATTACATAAAATATTTTCTTTTTATAATTTGAATACTGGCTACAATATAACCAGGGCCAGATGATGATACGAGATGGCTAGGAAATGTCACTGAGTGGCATTTTTCCTAATAAATGCTTCTGAAAAGTAGTTTGAATATTTTATCATAAAAATAAAAACAAGCAAAGCACAAAAAGTTGTAAATTGTAAAGGCATGACAGTATAAGTTTTTATTCCCATTATTAATTTCATGTACAGTGGAACAGCATTTGCAAAGCTTGTTGCACTTTATTATTTTTCACCATCTGGCACTGAATAAAATGATATGTTAGTAAACTACTTATAAATGACTTATACATTTATTATCCACAGGTAATTTATATAATTTGTTCATTAAATCATACTTTTAGGGAAAAGTTGAAGTCCAGAATCAATATTCGTGCATACTTATTTGATTGACGGAATATTTTGTTTATTCTAAATGAATTTTTTGTGTATATAATTTTTAATATATAGAGACTTGTTAAGGATGTTACTCAAATGTAAATTCAAATAGTTTTTTTGGAGTGAAAACTTTTTAGAAAACTCAACATCTTCCGGCTTTACATCTATTGTTGAGGGTAGAGTCAACAAAAGATTGTAAGCTTTTAAAAGTGCAAAATTTGAAAGTGCCTGTGTTTTCTAACAAAATTTTCTTTTCAAAAAGAACAGTCTGAATTGAATTATCTTAAAACATGTAATGAATAATTTAATAAATAGTACAAAATGATTTATAATGTACTTTATCTATGCCTCTTTTTATGTTTTAGTTGCTTAAAACCGATTTAAATATTACTTAATTCAGATAATAAACAATAATACTGAAGACATATATAGTTATGCAGAAAATGTTTATCTCCTTGCAGAAATTAATTGTTTAAATATTAAATTTCATAATTATAAGCAAACAGTATTCTTTTGGACTTCATTTTCTGGGATGTATGACTTTATGGGCAATCTATATAATCAAAATAAAAAATAATAAAGTTTTTATTATTTTGTTAGCAATAATGGTTATTTTTCATTTTGCATTTTATCAGGCAAATAAATTAATATAAACTTGAATGATTGTTTTTATGTATTATTTTTACAGATAAAGAATTATAATAATAATTTTAAGAAATATTATAAAAATATGAATAAAAATAGATATAATTATAATTAATTTAAATTTCAGTATTAAGAAGTATCAGAATTTCAATACCATCATGAATGAGCAATCTGCACACATAGTTGCTCCTCCATATTGCATGCAGAATCAGTCTGAAACAGAAAAAGATGAAAGGTATTTGGAAAAAATTACTCATTGGGATACTAGGTCATTTAGTCCTAATTTTCCGCCAAGTGTCCACATAGACTATCCGACAAAAGAAGAAAGAAAAGATATATCTCAAAACAATGATAGACAATGGACAATTGACTGGAGGTGCAGTATTCCAAATACTGTAAATATAGATATTAGAAATGAAAGACAACTTCAATTGCCTCATTCATCATATATACAAAGTAGTAATAACAATAGAGAATCTTATGTAGTTACTTCTTATTCACATTATAATGAAATTGATAATTCGAATGATGTGTCTGTTACTGCTTTACCATCAAATAATCTAAATCAAATTTCTTCAACAGCGTTAGAACAGGTTTATCCAATTGATTCAAAATTACAAATCAAAAATAAAAAATTTATGAAACCTAAGTACTATGTTGGAGAGACTGATTGGAATTACCAACCTCTTGATTCTAGTGATCAAATATATGAACAGTATGAAAATGAAATTGAAAAAAATTCAGCAATAAATTTATCATTTACAAATGAAGCACAAATTTATAATAAACAGAAAGTGTCAAATGATCAGCAGAGAAATCCAATGGAAGTAATTACTGATGATCAGTTTAATAATTGGAATGTTCCGAATAATAAACCATTGATGGGAGAAAATGTTGCGGCAATGCCTATTTTAGAAAAAATAGATAAAAAATCAGCATTAGATGCTCTTCACATTGAGAAGGCCAGTACTTTTATGGAACTACGTACTTACACTCCTCCAACAGAAAGAGAGATGCCAGTTTTGGAACATATGATTGAATCATATGGAGTTCAAAATAAATTTAAACAGTATTCTAACAGAGGAAACTTTACTGAACTTAATGTAGAGACATCCTTATATGATGATAATTATGATAAAAAAGCAATATATCAAGACGTTGGTAATAATTTAATGGTGCCAAACTCAAACACATTATATTTACCTTGTCAGGAGAAAAAGATCAATCCGAGAACACAAGCTATTCGAAACATGAAGCGCATGAGAACCTCCCTTTACACTCAAAATCCAGTTCAACAAGATAAGTATGAGGATGATATCAATACAGAAGATTTGCCGTTAGAAGATAATCTATCAAAAATATATCATTCTCATAAGAAATATAAATTAAAAGATAAAAAAGCATCATCTTATGAAAAGAATTTTTATAATGATCATTATTTAATGAAATTTCAAGATTTTTATGTGTCATCTGATATCAATATGGATCATCTTAAAAAAATTGGTCAAGAAAAATTAGCTTTAGAAAAATTACCAGAATCTGTATTTAATGAATATAAAGTTTATGATTATTATAAAACTGAAAGTACTGTTATTCTTCCAAGTGATAAAGATTTTCCTCTAAAAATGACTTTTAGGATTAATAGAGAATGCAATATGGATGCTTTAAAATCTGATAACTTTGATTATAAAAACAACCAAAAATTTCCTCCTTTTCATGTTGCTTCAAATACTGCCGAAAAAATTTCAAAGAAAATGATGAAATCAAAATATTCTATAAGTGATAGCTCTAATGAATTCAATGATGTACAAGTTAGCAAGTTTACAACTTCCAGTATGTCAAGTAATTCACCACCAATCAGATTACCATTAAAATTAAAAATTAAACTTCCAAACAAAGATTTTCTAAATTACAGACAAAGTGTAGTTGAATCAGATACTTCAGATTCATCTAAATCTTATGAAGTTAAACTGCGAGAGAGAAAATGTTTGAGAGAGAGAACCTCTCTGCGTACAAAAAGCAATCCGAGGCAAGTGGGTAAAATGCGCACAAAGCGTTCGACTGTTGACTATGGACCTGATGCATATTATCATTTACTTAATATTGATGAATTGTGGGATGTTTTGGATGATGATGTTTCTGCAACAAAAAAGCAAACTATGTTGGCATATCCGGAGAGTAAAAGAACTGATCAAATTGTAAGTGATGATTATCAGTCACAATCTATATTAAATGCATCACAGAATAATTTTCAGAATACATTTAATTTACCGACTGCATCAGCAGAAGTTCTAAGTTCCCAAGAACAGATGTCCTCTTTTGAATTTCAAACTCAAAAAGAAGAAATGCGCACAGAAATCAAAACAGAGAGTAATGATTCATCATCTGCTAGAAAAAGTATTCTTGTATCAACCAAAGGGGAAGAAATATATGACTTTGTGTTGCAAGAAAATATGAATGAAAAAACTGAAAATTTTGTTTCTAAACAGTGGAAAAAAGAAAATGATTCAATTCATAGTGATGTGCTACTTCAGAATGTCTGTGATAATAATCCTGAAGAAAATCAAAAGTTTAATACTCGCGACGATGGTATGTCAGTCAAAACTAAATCAACACATTCCGAGTTCTTAGATTGCGATAAACTTTCACACGACAGGATTTCATACGAAGGCATTGCTCAGTCTGATTTACAGGTCTTTCCTATTACCAAAAACTGTTCGAATAATTATCGGCAATCTGTAATATTCCAGCATGAAACGCAGGTACAGCCTTTAATGTTACAGAAAGATTGCAAGAGTTCAGAAATGGATTTAAGTAATGAGACTAAAGATATGTTTCTTACTTGTGATGAAAATAAAAATCAGTTGGTTTGTGAATCAAATATTTCATCCACAAATTTAGATAATTTAGAAATGTCAGTTTGTCAAAAAATCTCACCACTAAATCAAGAAAAAATTTAAGTTGTTATTGTTTTTATTTTGACAAAAAATTAATCTGAATAACAAGTACTAATGTTAAATGATAAATATTCATTTAAACATTTTAGAATATTTTATTAAATTTACAAAGTGTTGTATATTTATACAGAGATTGTAATTTAGAATGTTCGAAAATGACAAAATTCAAAAATTTCCAGCAATTAATCAGTTAAAAGATTTTATATAATTTATAAATGAATTGTTATTCTGGAAAAACATATCTTATAAATGAAAACAAAATATACCAAAAAATTCAAAAATATTTTATCATAGTTTAAGAAAATGAGATTTTAAAAAAGGGTAATGGACATTTGTCAGATAATCGAATGATGTCTACATCTAGATTCATTACAAGTTTTGTATATAAGTTCTTGCATTGTCAAAAGACATAAAAATAATGTATTTAAGACAAATCCATACAATTCTAGTAGTTTATCATAAACATATTGTAAATGTATGCATAGCATGCTTTACAGAAATGAAATTTTTGTTTAATAGAGTATATAATGTAACAAGTTGTTTGTCAATAAGATTTATTAGTAATTATAAAAGCCAGATTCATTGAATAATTTTTAAGATATATTTATCTTGTTAATTGTTGTTCCAAGCATTTTAATTATAAAATTTGCACCAATTGTACCAATGTGGTGTCAGTATGTGCCATCTATTAAATGCCAAAATATTTATATATATTAAATTTATATTATTTTAGGAACTTCCATTTATTTATTAATGATTATACAAATTTTATAGTTGTAATTTATGGAAATATTTCAAAGTTTTGAAATTGTACACAAAAGGAGAAACTGATTTTAATGTTCATTGTTCTGTAATTCATTTATTTCCATAAAAATCATGCCTCAATATGTCATAATATTTTATTGTCTGTTCAGAATTTAATTCATATACATGATCATCAATATAGTACAATATATAGCATGTGGTCATGATAAAATGTGTCAAAATATATATATCATTATCTTCCATTGCTCATATAAAGTCAGAATTTTACAATGTTTGACATTTTTTTTGTCAAAAAAGTATTTTTTATTAAATACTGTGTATTTAAAAAATATTTTATTAATCCTTTAAATGGATAAGTTTATATTGTTGAATTTATAGATCCTTAAAAGAAAATTAAAAAAAAAAAGATTAATGATCTTGTTAAATTGTCTTTGGCAGTTCTTATGAGTGTAGTAAAAGATAATAAAATTTGGTAAGAAACAAATTCAAATATTGAAGTCCACTAGAAGTTACTGTTTTCTAAAATCAGATGATGAATCAAGATAATTTGAAAACAGCTCTAATGATAAATGGGTGTCTCAAGTAAAATTGGCTTCACTCATCAATTGAGTAAGCTATTATAATCTTCATATTAGGAAAAAGGCAGAGTGGGACAAAATAATTCTTTGAAATTAGACAAAGAACTTTGTGAAAACCTTAATTTTATTCACAAAACATTATGGAAACTTATGTAACCAATGCTTCATCATTTAAATTAAGATGACCTTGTTTTATTCAATCAGTGAGTGAGGCAGTTTTATGTGGGACATCCTATATATTTGAGTTTGTTTCTTGTTATCAATTGATTATTATGGAGCCATTATTTTTTGTTTTAAATGATCACAAACTCTAATTTACATTTCATTAATTATTCTGAGAGAGAGATAGAATTCAATCTCTTATTTAATAAATATATTCTCTTTAAGAAAATCCAATTGAAGATTTCTTTGTGTATTTTACATTTTTTTTATTATGAGGAACTTTCTTGTTTTAGTTTTTACTGTTATTTTGTCTCATATTTTAGAATGTTTGGACCAAATAATTTAATACCATAGAATCTTATTTTTATAAAATAAAAACTTTTATACTCGATATACAACGTTTTCTTTATATATTTTCATTTCGAAATAAAAACAAAATTAGAATTTCTGTTTTATATATAAATTTGCTAGAAATCTTTAAGCATTAAGATCTAGAGTTTTGCTAAAATTTATAGTAATTTTATAGATTAGAGAATAAATTTTCAATATGAATTTAATAACATTTTTTGAGGGCATTTATTTATTTTACATAAATTACAGCATAGCCATATTGTCTTCCATATTTGATTTTGATACTATTAATTAATTAAAATGTGTGATTATAAATGAACCATTTGGTACGAACAATTCTGTAGAAAGTCTATTGGTTGCGTATTAGTAATATAATATGTATAATCATGCACTAATAAGAATTGCCAAAGAAACTTAACGTTTATTTTAATTTAAACGTAATGTGTTCTTTATAAAATCAAACTTAAACTTTCTTATATTTAATTGCTAATTATATTAACAAACTGTTTTGTTCAGCATCAGTAAAAAGTGTGAAACCTTTTCAAAATAAAAGAAAACCAAATCACTATTAAAGAGCCAAAACATTTAAGTTTAAAAAATTTCTTTTAAGATATTTTGTTATTGACATCAACTACAATACAATATGATAATATATTATTGGGTTGTGTGATCAGTTCATTTGGATTTACAATAGACTTGTGCTTGATTCAAAAAGAACTATTGTTAAGCAAATTGTTATAAATCAAACTCTGATTTCCCATAAGTTCAATGCTTAAATTGATCTTCTTTTTTGAAAATACAGTTTGAACTATGTAATACCACTCTGAGAAAACCAAGAAAAATATATGGCATTTTAGAAGTTTAACGGTGAGTGGTTGTAAAGTAGAGGTCTGTTTTATACATTTTTGTGAATGTTACATTATGGTATTGTTTATAACAACTGATTTGTATAAGAAGATCAAATTGTAGCTGGCTGAATGTTATTTGTGTAAGAATCAGTTAGTTTTTAAATCATCATTTTGTTTATTGATAAGTTTATGATACCCACAAACTTATTATCTGAAAATCTGAATGATTATAAACGACCCAATACAAAAAACATATACATATATATAAAACACTTCAACTGTTTGAATTTTAAAAATTCAAGCAATTTAAATGTTTACAGTACTATTGGTTTTTGATCTATGTATACATACAGAAATATTTAGAGGGCACTCAAAAAATATGGCACAAATTGAAGCAAGATTATTCAGTATCAAATATATATATATATTATATAGAGACATTTTTCTCAGTTGGATGTTTGTGAATGAAATTACCACAAAACTTTTAGTAATTATTGTGTGTTATATACAGGATATGACGAAAGAAACATTGTAGAAACATAGAATCTTGACAAATCAACATTAAACAAATCTTCTATTGCTTTTGTTAGGAAAAATTTGAATTCTAATTATCCCATAATTTGTTATATATGATGTCATATAAATTTAAATTCCATAATATTTATAAAGACCAGAAAGCATGTTTTATTCTAATTTTTTGATGCTGAATTGTCTTAAATTTTGGCTTGTGTCACTTTTTTTTTTATCATCCAATCTGTATCAATAATTTTTATTTTATTTTATTGTAAAAGGTTTCATATATTGCAGTTACAATTACATTTTTGCAGTTTGTTTTTAAAATCAAAATTAAAAAAGAGTTTAAAAATATATATTTAGCAATTGGAACACTAATTAATTTTGAAAATATAAAATTTTATTGTATAAAGTTAGTTTTTATTTTAGTAATTAATCAAAATAATCATGAACAAAATTTGAATGTTTTAAATTTCTTTTATTTCCTTTTGAAGGATTAATAAAACAAAAAAGAATTTACTGGAATTTATTATTATTGTTGCTTTTTATGGTTATATAATTTTTTTATATGATTTTATTATTATTTTTTTGAGTACAAACTATATATGTATATAAATGCATTATATTGCTAAAAATTGTTATATTATTAATATCTTTTCTCAGGTATTTTAATTTGTTGTTTATTGTTGTTTAGTACACATCCGTCCAAAGAAACGGTTTTAACTTTGGTGCCCAGCTATTGAACACATATGTTTTTTACATAAATTGTCTATAACAAATTAATTCTGAATTAAAAAAAAAAATTATTTATTAAAGTATTCCTGTCAAATTAAAAAATATATATATTATATATATATAAATACATAAAAATGTGATCTCTTCCATATAGTTGTTTTATGCATGATATGTTATTTTAAACTTGTAGATATTTACCTTTGGTGTATAGTTTCAATAAAGTGATTGTGTCAATTAATTTTTGTGTGATTTCTGTGTTAACATTTATAATTTTAAAAAGTTTAAATTTGTTATACAATTATCAAGATTTTTCAATTCTTGATAGCCATATATAAAGCTTGTTTGTGGGAACCTGATTCAAATGATACTTTTTTTTTTAAGGGAATTTCAAATTACTAAGAAATTAGAAATAGTAATTCTGTGAAGTTATAAAATTTGAAAGCTTACAAACATTGGCCTGGATTGGCCTGATCTCTTTGATGTTGAACTATGCAATCTCTTTAGCAGCGATACCACAAAATAGCTCTATTTTCATGATTACTTTGTGGACTGAACCTACTATTATATAAAGCAATCATTTAAAACTTACAAATTATTTGAGTGTTATAAATATTTAGTAAGTATAAAAGTATACAAAATATGATGGTATGCAGTAAAACATGTGGCATCGCATGGCATATTAAAAGGAAAAGTAGTCTGGACAGAGTTTAAAAACATTTCATCATGTAGATGTGAGCAAGTGAAATTTCTGGTGAAATATATTAGCAAGAGAGCAAATGTGATAACTTCAGATTATGACATTTTTCACCTTTTTGCTATTGTTATTCAGTGACATGAAATGTTCCCTTTCGTTCAAAAGAGTAGAAAGAAAATGGAATGACAATAAAGTTTATTATCTTGGTTTCAGTGATTTTTTAATCACTGATTGAATTAATTAATTTTTCTGTATGGAAACTTCAATCATTGTCTTCTCATACATATAAGCTTAAGAAAGCATATTTGATATACATTTAGTATACATATCAAGTATACTTTCTTCAAATATATACAATATAAGTTACTATTTTTAAGGATTAAATGTATTAAAGTAA